GACAAGAACCACATTCGCAGCCCGGGATCTCCATCTTCCTTCACGAGATACAGGTGCGGGTACGAAGTCATCATGAGGAGGCGGTAGTTTCGGATGTGTGCGACCATGTTGTTGATGCGCTTGCTGAAGTCGTTCGGAAGCTCGGGAAGAGTGATCTGCCAAGGCAACGTCGGCGAATTGTAAGGCCATATATACTGAATCAGGCACCAGCGGTCTGGAGGATAGCGTACTGTTTTGCAAATCGACAACCAACCTCCGTGGACTCACCTTTCCGTTTGGAAGCGACTCATACGAAGCCTTGCCGAACAGGAGCTGACACAGCTCAGGAGAAACCGCGCGCCCAACCCATATGAAAATATCGAGGCCGTTCTCAAGGAGGTAGACACCGTGGCGCTCGAGTTTCTCGCTGCTCAAATTCAAAACGGGAGGGAACTGGATTCGACCAACTTCGTCTGGCAGACCCGTCTAAGGCGTGTGGAGCGAAACGCACCATCAGCAAACTGCAACGAGCAAGACCGGAGGGAGAACTGTCCCCGATGGGGGTTTGCTGGCACGGGATTAAACTCCAAAGTGGCAGCTATTTACCTTTTCGTCGAGCACATGGAGGGCCCAGAAGCGCGGATGAATGTTGGACATGTTCATCTCGGCAGGAAAAACGTACAGAACCGACAAAATATAGGAGCGCAAGTCCGATGGCACGGTGTTTCCGGCGCGGAAGCCCAGCTGGAGCGGTGGTAGGAACAAACACCAGAAACGGCGATTAGAATAAAGATGAATTGCGCGTCTGTTGCAGGCATCGAGTAGCTGACTGAACAGTGCAAGTCCACCAAATTAACTCGCGCTAGCATCTCGTGCATTAACGGAATCCCGATATTGACGCCTTACGTTCTTGATGAGCGCCAGTGTCAGAAGCGGGTAGAGCTTGAGGTTGTTGGGCAGCAAAACTTGCGCAGCTTGGCCCGACGTTGTACAGTTTGCCTTGTAGGCCGACAAAATTTCGGTCATTTTATATTGCAGGGCATCGCGGGCATCCTCGAGCTTTGAGGTCAGTCCGCGCTCCACCGCTGGCAATGTCCGATGATGCAGAGTAAGGAACATGTCAGCCACCGCCACTTGAGCCGCCATCACCACAAACCAGACGCCGCAATCATTGAATATGGATGCACAAGGGCGCCATACCTTTTTTGGTCAGAAGTGTTGTCAGTGCAAACTGATCGGTGGACAGGAAAAAGTCGCTCAAGCTGCTGGAAACCGGGACTGCCAAAGTGAGCACACGGATGCGGCGCTCGCCGTTGCTGCTTGTATGAAGCAGTGCCGTTTGGAAGCAGGCAACTGGGTAGTTCAGACTCTCCTCGAGGTTCAGTTCGACGACGTATGAGTTGTCGGGGCAGACGTTGGGCAGCGACAGGAGATCCGTTGATCGGAGGAAGAAGTTGCCATGGAAGCCAATCATGCGTATGCCCTTGGATGCTCTAACCCTCATCACGGCCTCCAGTCCGATCGGACGGCCCAGGAAGTGCGAGAGCTCTTTCGAAAACTTGACAACGTCCTCAGAGCGCGCGCCGTTAAAGGCGGGATAGTAGTAGGTGGAGCCACCGGTGTACTTGGCCAGTCCCGCTGAGACGAACAAAAGACAAGATGATCATAGGCTCGGCTTAGTGGCTGGTGCGCACCAACAATACTCCTATGTTTCAATGAGCTTGGGCCAATTCCCGATTGCAGACTCTGGTCAGGCTGTCTTGGGAAGCGTCTCTTACATAGAGTTGCAACGTCGGCGTATTTCTGGTTGAACAGGAACACGTCGAGACTGATCTGCGACCGGGAGCAGTCCACGGCCAGACTCTTGTAAAAGCCTGTGGCGGGCTGCAAGAGTGCACTTTCCTTCGAAGTACCGAGGGCCTTGGGATCCTCGCGCTCTTTCAGGATACCGTCGGTCAGATTGGGCAAGGTGCTGGTCAGGATGACGATTTTGCCGCCGATGGGGCTCTACCAAAGGGATACACCATTTCAATCATCAGTACGAGAGAGTCCCGAGCAGCAAGTAAGGTGTTGCAAACATAGGATGCTCGTCATAATGCGAGAACTGGCGCCAGACCCATCACTCGCCTAGCCTATCTGCAGTCCGGATAGGCACGGCTTCGGCTGAGCGATCGAACGTACCAGTAGCTTGTTGGCGGCCTGGAGGGCTCGGGCCAGACAGAACTGGACATTCTGGGTGTTCTTGAACATTTCCCCCAGGCGCTGGAGCAGGGACTCGATCAAGGCTCTGGATTCGGTCAGAGAGACAAGCAGTGAGTCTGGGATGGGCAGGAAGACTTCTTCGAGGTCCGATACCGTCATTAGCTGGGGGTCGCTCAATGAGGCCTGCAATATGTCAGGGTGAAGGATCGAGGCGGGGGCATTAGACGACATGATAAACTGTACGTATTATCCGACGAGGCACTTCGACACGCAAGCAGGCTCGTGGTATGCTGCAGAGACAGAAACATGCCTTTAGGTTGAAGAAATGGAGTGAGCTATCGACAGCGAGGAAGCCAACGCGGGTTCGGCCCTCTTCATTTGGAATGCGATCCAAGGTCTCGCTGATCGTGCGGGCAGCAGTGGCCAGCATACCTTGAGAGCGAATAGGGGCACAGTTAGCAAGCAGACATCACGCGACCATCACCAACGAGTGCAAACAAAAGCACATATTTCTGCCATGAGGCCTTGGATATCGACAGGAGTGTAAGTATGATGCTTACCAGAGTGAACAGCTGCATACGATACATCCAACACAAAATAGATAACCACAGGCTGCGGCGGACGAACCTTTCACGAGGGAGAGACACAGTAAATCAGTCTGTGATCGATCATACGAGAGCCAACCGACAACACATCAAGTCTATCCGAGTGCAGCTGACAGGAAGGGAAAGGAGCATACCATGTACTCCTGTGGAGCAATAAACTCAATGACACCGTGAGTAAGCTCGGGGCGCTTCATACGATCCACGGGCTGTCTCGAGACTGGGTCCCAGTCAAAGAACTGAGGAACTACAAATGCGGAGAGCGTGGACGCGGGCCACAACAACCAGAGTCAATAATGCGATGTTATCTCGAGCTGAATGGCAGCTAAAGCTTTGGCATTTCGAAGAGGCATCGGGCAGCACAGCTCGGCCCCAGGTCGCAATCGCAACGTACCTTCGTTCGAAAGGAAGCACAAATTGCACTTCCACCGCGTGCCTTGTTCAATGAATTGGACAAATGGATTGATGTAGCTCCGGCATCGACGGCAGCGCACGATCGTCTCGGGATTCAGAACGGGGACCTCGCTCTTGAAGGAGCGATTGGCGGCGGGAGACGAGAAATGATACGGTGGACGTAAATAACGAGTGCAAAGCAATCTAATGGAATGGGGTGTGCTGGACATGTCAGTACCTCGCCAGGCTGAAGGTGTCGGTACGGAGTAATGACGAGACCCATCGGAATCTTGCACTTGTTCAGTAGAGCCGGGGTCTGAGGAATGACATTCATGGTTGCTCGCTTGTAGGAAGGCGCTGCGTTTGAGAATGGAGATCCAGAGACTGACGACTATGGGTTGTACAGCGAGCAGGCAGGTGGCACGGGGCGATAAAGTCGCAGCCCATTTCAAGCAAGTTAGCAGTGGCATTATTTCGATAACGAAAGAAGCAGGCTAGCACATGAAACAGCGATCAGGGCATACTTCGGAGGGAGTCCATGAAACAGGCGATGGTGCTTCAAGATCTTGAATGTTGGGGGGTCCAGCAAGAAGGTTGATCACAGGAGCCGAGTGCTAACGGTGAGCGAGGGTGAGCGAGGGTGAGCGAGGGTGAGCGAGGGTGAGCGTGTCAGTAAGTGGGCAGCTGGATATCGATGCCAATCCTTGACGGCGAGCCGCTGTGGTCGAAAGTGGCAGCTACATATCGAGATTCACAGAGTCGAGCCAGATACCGTCGCATCTATCAACACACGAGCGGTACCTGGGGCTGACCAGTCAGGGTAAAATTGCCCATCTGGTTGGCAAGCGAGTTGACACTCGAAGAGGAGCTGGCGTGCTGCATTGAATAGTCAGCTGTTGGATAGTTGGAAGGGGATCCAGCCGAGGGCGATTGGTGGCTAGGGTCGAATCCGGGGCCAGGGCCAGGACCAGGACCAGCGGCTTGAGGGTTTGCAAAAGCTGGTGGCTGGACGGCGTTGCCCGGACCGGTGCTACCGGCGTATCCGTAAGATGAAGGCTCATCCTGCGGAGCGTACGCTCGCATAGCTCGCTTTGTGGTGGGGGCTGCAGCAGGCACATTCGGGACATTGAACGACACGGGCGCCGGGGCATTGGGAGCGGGCGGAAGAGCAGCGCCAGGTCCAGAAAATGCCAGGTTTGGGCCCCCGAAAACAGGGGGGTGACCAAGAGCCGGTGGCAGACCGATACCGGGTTGAGCCGATGGATGCGAGCCAGGGATGTTGGGAGGAAGATGGGCAGGCTTGGGACTGAAGCTGGCGGGAGCATGGGACGGGGGAGCGCCCGGCGTTCCAGGGCGAACAGGAGGGAAGGGGCCAGTTGGAGGGCCGGGTCGAGGAGGGGCGGTGGAACCGACAGGACCAGTGGGGGTTCCGGCCCGAGGAACACCATAGGGAGGCATGGCTCCGGTTGGGGTTCCAGACCGGGGAAGCGAGCCCGGAGCAGGGGGGCCGCCAGGACGCAGAGGCAGCGGACCTCCGGGTGTCATCGGCGAGGGCACAGATCCGGTGGGAGTGGCCGATCGAGGGGCCCCTCCAAAGCCGGGCGCTGGGCTTCCAGAGTTGGGCAGGACAGGCCGGGCCGCGACATTTACTCCAGGAGTGAATTGGGATTGTCCGGGGCCAGGGGCGGGCGGGCGAGGCTGGAAATGTCCACCGGCAGGACCAGCGGGACCAGCGGGACCGGCGGGATGGCTGGATGGATAGCCTGCAGGGTGGCCAACTGGAGGCCGATTGGGCTGCTGGGCATATCCGGGGGGACCGGGTCGGGGTTGCTGAAACGGAGGACCTGGTCGGTATGCCTGGGGAGGTTGCATTCCTGATGATGAAAGCGCGATCGATGACGCCAGTCGTATCGTTCATTCGCAGAGTTCAGCCGGTATCGGGAATCCGTCATAGCGTGGGTATTGGATTCAAAAGGATGGATAATCAACGAGTCAGTGCGGGTTTCTGGGCAGTGCGGGTTTCTGGGTCGATCTGGCCCGGGCAGAATGGTCTGTGGCATGTCCATGTGGCATTGTAGTATGAATCGGTGCGATTCGAAGACATGGAAATCGCGCCGATGGCCCCAATCCAGCCCTGGTCCGGCCAAGCACAGACATGGTGATACTCCATAGCTATTATGCAACGGAGATTCAGCCACAGCGACAGCAGAGCAGGAGATTGCTGCGTTGTCGCTGAGCCAACATTCTGTCGGAGGCATCTTGGCCTCAGGACCAGCCCAGATTGCGGTGTGTGCGCCGGCGAGTGCGATAGCGCAGCAGCGGGCCACGATACGCTGTTGCCCACGAAAGCTCACAGTGGTCCCTCCGCGTCCAGCACCGATTCAAACGAGCACAATACTATCGGGAGAGATGAGAGCAAGCACAACAATAAGTACCAGGGACAGGCTGGGCAGGAAAGGGCGGTCTCGGAGGGGGAGTCGACATGGCGGCAATTCTGGCGGAGGTTTCTGTTTGGAAGAGCTGCGTCGACTCGAGCTGATCGTCCTGCAGAGACGGGGGGGGGGAGTCAGCGGCAGAGATCCGGCGGGTTGTTCGGCGACGTCCAGGTGGCAGCAGGCCAGAGGCAGGACAGGGGAGTCAGAGGAAGGGGCGAGATGTCGTTTCTGTCTCTGCCTTTTCTGCGTTTTTCGCCCGCCGGCTGGATCCGCGATCGGCCGGTTCGAGCCGCTGTTCGCAAGATCTCCTTTCGCCAACAAGCGGCATTTCGGCCTGCAGCACCCAAACACCCAAACACCCAACACCCAACACCCAACACCTCCAAACACCCCCCCCCAAGGCATCCCCAGGCATCCCGAGGCATCCGCCAACCCGCCAGGCAGCCCACCGCTCAACCAATAGGCAAAAAGATGGCTAACAGAGCCGAAGAGAGGAACCAGGACGCCACCGTCTATGTCGGAAACATCGACGAGCGGTTTACAGAGACGCTGCTCTGGGAGCTCATGCTCCAGACCGGCCGTGTCGGTCAGTTGCGGCTGTATTGTCGATTTTTGAACATGCACCATCCGAGACGATCGCTTGGTGCAGCCCAGCGCAAAAACGGCTCTCCGCTGGACCGAAAAAATGACTCGCAGTGCGGCGAGCCAGTGTTGGCACAGAGAATGCCGCGGCTGATCCCAATGTTCGATAGTCAATGTCTATCTGCCCAAGGATCGAGTCACACAATCACACCAAGGATACGGGTTTGTGGAGTATCAGACCGAAGAGGAGGCCGACTACTCCATCAAGGTCGGTGAAAAATATGCCCGAACGTGCTGATCGGACCGCCGGTGCATTTCTCAAGACGCCCCGTGCTTGTTCGCAACTGAGACCCCCCCCCAAATGACTGCAGCCCGGATGGCTTCTGGAACAATGGATTGGGGGCGATGGGAGCATCGGGAACTGATCAGCGAATACCATGCCGTTTCAAAGATCATGAACATGATCAAGATCTTCGGCAAGCCTCTTCGTGTGAACAAGGTGGGAGCGAGCAGGGAGCCCACATCGAATTCCTCGCTGCAAGTCCTTCAAAGCGGCACCAGGGGCGACCGCACCAGATCGGGGCTAATGGAGTATCGTTGCAAGGTTGGCATAACACAGCCGGGCCATTCCAACTCACAACACCATGCTCTTGGAATCGTAACAGGCCACCTCCGACAAGAAGAATCTGGATGTCGGAGCGACGCTATTTATTGGCAATCTGGATCCCGATGTCGACGAGAAGCTGCTCTACGATACTTTCAGTGCCTTTGGCGTGATCATACAGACACCAAAGGCAGGTGACCGACCAGCACATGCCGGAGGCTTGGTGACCGACCAACTTCTGCTCCCGCCCGAGTCGGCTGCGATAGGAGAGCTGACTTTTGATCTGATCACTGCAGATCGCTCGAGATCCGGACACCGGAAACTCCAAGGGCTATGCCTTTGTGAGCTTTGATAACTTTGACTCTTCGGATGCGGCAATCGAGGCTATGAACAGCCAGTTTCTGATGAACAAGTCCATCACAGCCTCATACGCCTTCAAAAAGGACGGAAAGGGCGAGCGCCACGGATCAGCTGCCGGTATGAGCGACCTGCATTCGTGATCGACAGAGACTGCCTCTTGAGGTTTTGGCTTGCTTGATGTTACCTCGCCCGCTCGTTCTGCTCATCCCGCTAATCCGCTCCTGATTCTAGAGCGTTTGCTGGCGGCCCAGGCACGGAAGAATGAGCCGACGCAGATGCCAAACCGATTTTTCGCCGATATCCCTGGGGCCAATCCTGCGGCAACGGCCCCGTCGATTACTCCTGCGCCGCCAATGCCGATGCCCGGTATGATGGGCGCACCCGTGCTTCCAGGCCAAGCGCTGCCGCCGCCGATGGGCCAGCCCATGATGATGGGTGCGACGCCGACTATCCCTCCGCCGTACATGGGCCAACCTATGATGCCCCCACAGCAATCGTATCCGCCCTATGGAACTCAGCCTGGCTATGGTAGGTTTCTGCGCAATGCTGGTACTAGGACAAGAGTACGGTGCGCCTGTGCTCCGACTGATCCTCGATACTGACGCATACGCTCTCACCTCTCGCTCGCCCTCCACCGAGCGCTGCATCCAGCGCGTCCTCCCATGCCACAAGCCCCGTTTCAATACCGACCCCAGCCTTCATGGGGCCAGTGATCCCCAGAGGTGCTTGGAGGGATTGCGATCCATTGCATCGGTTTCATGAGTACGCTGCGTCGATTTCATGAGTACGCTGCGTCGGTTTCATGATCGCGCAGCCGATCCAATACAGACTGTGTTGCTGCATTTCAATAGGGGTTCTGAAAGAAAGATCACTGTAGTTGCCAAAGCCAAGGAATGTGCTTCTGTTGCCAAACGCACCCAGCTCAGCGACTACCAGCGCTGTCGCCCTTTCTGTGCTGCTGATCACTGCTCGTCTCCGGACAGCCGTTCCTGGCGATAGCTATCGATGATCGCCCGCGGTGGTGCCGATTAGCGACGGCGGGCGGCTCTGCAGATTGCCCCAGATGCTGACTGGCCCGAGTATGGATCGCCCCGAGGACAGCGGTTTGAATAGACAATGGTGGGCCGGGGGGCTGCTTTGGGTCTTGGTGGCGCTTTCGTTGACCAGGCTTCCGCGCCACAGCCGGGCACCCAGCGTCCAGTTGCCATGCGGCCGCCCCAGCCCCGATCGACTTTGGTCAACCACCATCACCCTCGGCCACCCTCGACCGATCTCAATCAGTCTCGATCAGTCTCGATCAGTCCTGGTCTGCTGCTGCACACAGCCGCGCCAACCTCGCCCGAGATTCTCTTCCGTCGCAATGGCTAGCGATAAAGTCGAGCTCAGCTCGCCCTTTCCGAGCCCGCCCATATTCTACAGGCTCTACACCGACGAAAACATCGCTGCGTACCAGGAGTGGAGGCAGCAGGCTGCTCAGACAGACGCCCGTGTGTTTCCTCGCCCACATCCCCTTGATCCGGACGGTCTTTTGAGCCTCGATCCCCCTCCTCCACCCGGCGATGGACAGCCCTATCGCCAGTTTGGCGAATGGAAGCAGGTGAGCTTGACCGATGTTGCGTTTCTGTAGTTTTGCAGCCCAATGAAGCTGAGGCTGCCTCGATCTCGCCAGAAGTGTCGTTTACAAGCGGGCTACATTCCCAGCGGCTGCGGGGCCCTGCAGATCCGAGCTGAATCGCAACAGCTCGAGATCACTCACGACCCTCTCGCACAATCAGTTTCAACCCAGAATCACCTCGCTGCGAGAGCAAAACATTGCTCAGCTGTATTCGGATGATGCAGGCATGACCACAGCTCGTGCATTAGCTGGAGAGCGGATCATACGGCTCTACCTAAATCTCACTTTATATGCCTGACGTGGCCCCCGACAGACAAGAGTACGGAACTCAAGAGACTCAACCAATCGCTGCTTGTCAACTTTCTCGAGCTGGTGTGGACGTTGATACACCACCCGAAAGATGTACGCCGAGACCTCCTCTGGGATTGCCGGGTGGCCAGTCGGTTGCTCGATATACACATCTCCACACTGCGGCACCGGCGCTTGGTCGGATTTTTCCAAACCCCCAAGCACCAGCGAGTTGCAGCACACTATCACGTTAACATGTCTGCATCTTCTCTCACTCGCCACACCGCCAGTTCAACCAGAAACTGGACCATATTCATTTGCTTCTCATCAACATTAACCACATTTTGAACGAATATCGGCCCCATCAGGTCAGGCGAACTTGCTGCTTGTCGTCGAACATTGGGTGGCGATGTACGCAAACTACGGACTGATCTGGTATCTGTACCAGGCCAGAGATACGCTCAAGCTGTTGATGGAGCAGCAGATCCAGAGACGCAACTCGACAATGAATGAGATACAGCTGTAAGTCTTCATTCCCCAAGACCCAGCGCCGAGCTTGCCTATGACGATCAAAGCAAGTTCGATCGAAACAGAGAGTTGCGGGGCCATGGCGCCTCCATATCGGTACCGTGGTAGCCATCGCTCTCGCACTGATAGGCTAAATGTTGGGTACAGCTGCTTGCAAGGCGCCGGTGAAATGATTCAATCGACCAAGGTAGCCTGCAGGGTCGGAGGGCCACCTCAAGACAAAGACGAGGATGTCGAGATGTCCATGGCCCCGACATTGGTAGGCGCTGCCCTGTCTTCATCGCGTGCATCTCGAGGAGCTTCTCGAGGAGCTGCATCCCGCGGATCCCCAAGACCTATGCTCATCTGTAACGAATTGGCCTGTGGCCCATAGGCGCCAACGGAGGAGGAGCCAAAGACAGAATTTCACAAGGACGAACGGCGGAGACAGTTTTGGCTGAATCAGCAGCGCATGATGCAATTGTATCAGTGAATGGATCTTTGAGTTGTCAAGATTTGTGGGCAGCCGCTGCCCGAGCCTCCCACACAAATACATGCCTCGCAGCACCACCTTTGCGATGCAGATACCAGCGCTGGTCGTGATATTGCTGCGGTGCAATCGAACGCATAAACGTTTGCAAAGATAATTAACAAGGCCCGCCTCGGAGGCCGGAACAGATGGCTGGGAGGAGGCCACCCTGGCTCCCAAGGCAATGGAGCCTGGACCGCCTGTGGCGCAGCGCGCGTGACACCCACCTGACTCCCAAGCAGTCTCTTCGTCGCCGCCCGCTGCAGTCGCGGCGGCATGGCTCTCCAACCATCTCCACCACAGTCGGCAATGTGTCCTTCAGCCTGGATGCTCCAGACGTGCTCCAATCGCAGCTTCCTGTTCGCACACTCTCCGAGGGGCGGCCAACTACGTGGCGTGTGCCAGGCTGCCGTGCCATTCAGGCAGCCCGCGCTCACCTCCGGACCTCGTCCCTGCCGGCTTCCGACTGCTCAAGCACCCACCAGATTCAGCCCTTGCTTGGCCCTCGTTCGCGGATTCCATGCTGCCGACACCCAAAAAAAGGCCAGCGCACCAGCAAGTCCTCCAGTGGCACAGAAAGATGAGCAGCTCATGAACGACAAGATCCCCTTCTCGGTCATCCGCATGATCGACGCCGTCTCCAACCACAACCACAGCTCGATCGCGACCAAGGAGGCCCTCAAGCTCGTAGACCTGTCGAAATACAATCTCGTCTGCGTCAACGTCAAGGTCAGCCCTCCGATATGTCGGGTGATGCCCAAGCCCGCACCGGAGCCACCCAAGCCCAAGAAGAGTACCGAGCCCAAATCCAAGGAGATTCAGCTCTCTGTTTCGATTGGGCCACATGATCTGGACATCAAGCTCCGCAAAGCCCGCGAGTTCCTTGAAAAGGGATACATTGTCGAATTCTCGGTTCTGCCGCTCATGGCACGCAACCGGGTGGTGGGGACTGGGGCTGCGGAAATGAAGCTTGCCAACGAGATCGTCGAGGCGCTGAAGCCTTATCTGTCCCGGAAGCCCATCAAAATGGGCAACAATGTCTCGGCTATATTCAAGGGTGTAGCTCCCGCACAATGAAGGTGCTGTGCGGCCGATGGAGACCGAACACGATGATCTGGGTGTATTTGCAGTTGTCGCCGATCTCGATCTGAGGCACCCATGGCCGACGGGGGCATGTCGTCTCTGGCATTCAGTGCTCACCACAGCCAATCGAGAAAGAAACGGGACACCCTGGTTTTTTGACCATTGATCAAATAATTTATTACCCAATACCATCGCGCGCTGGCCACGACCATTCTGTGATGCGGTGCTTCGCCCTCGTCCATAGCCTGAGAGGAGTTGCCTCCATGTTCAGCGTGTCCAAGAGCACCATTCACTGATGGCAATGCGTCATAACGTCGAGGCAAGGGCGATGCATCCAGTCTCAGGAGGCAGCGGTTTGCCAAGTACTTTGAGCAGTTCAGGCAGCGCCGCCGCCACCCACATCGCCCCTCTTATGGCTCAGCTTGACGCAAGCTCATCACATTCTACATGTTCATGGGATCGAGAGGGTGTCCCGTTTGCTCATGTACAAAGTGGGAAACAACTCAAATCGCTGTGATCCCCAACCACGCCAGAGGAGCGAGACCGCCCTCGGCCACGGCCTCTCCACGTGCGGTTGTGGCCCAGCAGCCATGGGCTGCGGCAGGGCCAACGCCGTTTTTTTCAAGGTCTGATCTTCTGCCTTGGTCTTCTCCACCATCCTCTGCCACCTCTGCCACCTCTGCCACCCTTCGCCGTCGCCCCGATATCACGTCGCCGTCCGCCCGGCCCAAAAGAAGTCGCAACTGACTCCCCCCCATCTCCCAACCAATCTTGCATCGATTGTTACAATGTCCAATTCCATATTTGCCCTTGCCCCGTCGATCTTGGGCTCGATCGACTTGTCTGGTCCAGCGCTCGTGGTCTCTGGCAGAGGCAGCCAGACACCCGTCAACTCCAGCCCGTTTAACGCACCCGACGTGCGGTATTCTGAAAAAGCCTTTTACTGCGCTACATGCTCAAAGGGCAATGATCTTGTCACTTTCAACAATGTAGCAGTTATGCGAGACCATTTCCGATCGGACTGGCATCGCTACAACATGACGCTCAAGATGAAATGCCGCCTGCCCATCTCAGAGGAGGACTTTGACGAGCTCTCGGACGTCAGCAGCATCGACGCCTCGGATCAATCAGAATCCGAGTCAAGTGACGATGAGGAGCAGAAACACAATCGCTCGCCCTTCATCTCGCTGCGGCTCACAACGATCGATTCCGGCGAAACCGCCTCAGTTGCCGATGGTCCGAATGCGTCGTCTGGACCCCGCTTCCTTCGCTTTTATAAGCAAGCGCTTTCTCTTTCGGCCAGCGAGCATGGCGACCCAGCCAAATGTTTGAAGCAGCTTCAAGAATACCAGTCGAAGCAGCCGGTTACCTGGACGCTCATCATGCTTGGATCTGGTGAGTCTTATTGAGATTCGAGCATTGCCCACCTGCGTGTCACTGTGCATTTCGCACGCTTGGCCGGGCCGTCTTGAGTCAGCTATGCTGTGGCCCGTATCACAGTCCTGCTCGACCACAGCCCATGAATCTGGCTGCTCCGATGATCCTCCCCCCCCCACCACCACAAGTCCCAGCCCCGGTGCAAATCGGCAGTACAAACCGATGACATCCACTGACATTTTGCCGTGGATTCCTTCTGCAGGTCACTTTGCCGGAGCGGTTTTTGACTGCAAAACGGGCAAAGCCCTTGTCCACAAGACGCTCCATCGATACACTACCCGGCGCAAGCAGGGTGGTGCGCAGAGCAGCAACGACAATAGCAAGGGAAAGGCCAAATCAGCCGGTGCACAGCTTCGTCGTTACAACGAAATGGCCCTCCGAGAAGATATTCGGAGGCTGATGGAGGAGTGGAAGGAGCATATCCGCCAGAGTGACCTTGTATTTGTGCGGGTGCCGGTTCGCAGTCGCTCGGTCGTGTTCTGCGATCCAGCTATTCTCGAACCCTCCAGCGACAAGGTCCGAGGCTTCCCATTTACCACGCGCCGCCCCACCTTTGGCGAGCTGCAGCGATGCCTCCAGGAGCTGTGCTGGTTCCGAGTGGAAACCACTGACCCCTCTGCAGATATCGGCACTTCACCAGCCCCTGATTTGGACGATCAGAATGCAGCGTCCAATCCAGTATCGATACCGGCGATCGATTTCAAGGCTCCAAGCGCTGTCGACGAAGAGGCCACCCGCCCAGCCGCTGATCCAAGCGCCGAGAACGACAGGGCGTACATCCCCATACCTTCTGCCATGGTGCTCAAGGCCGTCGATCTGGCTCGCAGAGGGCAGCTCGAAAAGCTCCAGAGCCATGTCGAAGCCCATGCCATTGACGTCAACACGCTGATCCCGGATGATGTTTCGCTTCTCCATGCCGCATCGTTGAACGGACATGCCGACGCTGTTGTCTATCTGCTGGAACAAGGAGCCGATCCGACCACCAAGGGGGGCCAGCGAATTAGCCGAGTGCCCTATGATGTTGCAGCAAACAAGGATACCCGAGACGCTTTCCGGAGGTTCGTTGCTGCCCATCCCACCCGATGGGACTACAAGCTCTCCAACATTCCCGGTCCGCTTACGGCCGAGATGGAAGAGCGGCAGAAGGAGAAGCTTCGCGACAAGAAAAAGAAGCAAAAAGAGAGGCAGAAGCAGGTGAACGACAAGAAGGAACGGTCTCGACAGAACTCTGAAGAAGAGCTGAAGGCCAATCCAACTCTGCCCGAACCGGCCCCGGCGGCAAGGAAGGGTGTCTTGGGGAAGATTTTGACGACCACAGAGCGCGAGGCTATCGGTATCTCTCCCGAGCGGAGAGCGGCGCTTGACCGCGAAAAAAGGTGCGCCATTTGACCCGGGACCTCTCTATTTCGGCTGTGAAGGCCTCTGGAAATTGGCCTCGCCTGGCGATGCTTGGGCAGTGCCGGCTATTTGATTCGTTGCTGCCACCCATCACCCATCACCCATCACCCATCACCCATCACCCATCACCCATCACCCATCACCCATCACCCATCACCCATCACCCATCGTCCGTCATCGCCACGCACTGCGTATCGCTCTGGGGGTTTCCGGGAGTTTCCATCGTCTTTCTGGCTCATTCTCACATCCGGACACTGCTTTTCCATGCTGTTCACGCAGAGCACAAGCGGCCGAGGCTCGTCTGAGGTCCCAGCAAAGCAAATGCGCCACTTGCGGCAAGTCCCTTGAAGGCATTACGTCGTTTGACAAGTTCCAATATCGCTACTGCTCCGTTGGCTGTGTCAAGGTGGGTGCCACGACTCAGCAGTCCTGCGACTTTGGAGGCGTGGATCGAACTCTTTACTGGCAGTCCCTTTTCCTCGCGCCATTGGCTTTGTGATCATCTGTTAGCTTCGTTAGCTCCAACTCACCGCTCCACAACTGGTGCCATCCTCGCAGCACGAACAGTAGATCGTTTGAGTTACGCAAGCCACGACGATCCGACTCCCACATCTGGCCCATCTGTGGAGCTTAGAGTCTAACTTACAACTGCGACCACCATGCTGAATCATAGTTATTATGCCTGGCTGAGCTTGCATCGCACTCTGCTCGCCCTCGCACTACTGCAGCATCTTGGCAGAGACCGAAAAAGTGCGCCCTGCGTTGCACACATGTCATGTCAGGGGTTAGCGGTGCACACCACGTCCAGAGCGGCGGCACAGAACTCACAGAAACCGATCCCATGGATTCAAGTCTGTGCTCTGTCCAAACAGCGAAACCTTACTTGTAGACTACCACTCCGATCGGATTGTCAGGTCGTTGTCGCTTGATGAAATACGGCAAAATAGAAAGTAAAAACAAGGAGTTATATTGTTCCATATACTACAACAAAAAGCGAAGAAATACAGGACAAAGAAAGGCGAGGACATTGGACTGGAAGTGAGCTCTGTCTGCTTGTGCAAGCGTTAAAGGGATAGAAAGAGAGAATGGATAAAAACGGCGGCAGAGACACACGATAACTCTAAGGCGACGGCGGCCAGTGGCTAGCGTCTATAGATTTGGAAATTACAGGTGAGAGGATGGGTGAACACGGTGGATTTCGCCTTCGGGTCAGTTGGAAATGGTTGGGCCAATCAAGATGCAAAAACGAAGGAGGAGCGACATGAAAACAACGCACAGGACCAGGAAGAGAGAGGAGAGAAGGGTGGGGAGGGAATGCAGAGTCCCAAGAAATACGAACAAAGAACGAAGGAAGGAAAAAAAAAAGTATTGTTGTATCCAGTGCCACGAAAATGGTGGTGGTGTAGTCTAGAGCGAGTGGTTGGGGGCAACAGGATGCTGTCTTGCGGTGGTGGTGGTGGTGGTGGTGGTGGTGGTGGTGTTTGTACGTTTACCGTACGTCGGACCTTGAGAGTGAGTGGCTGGCGTCAAGCTGCATCGTACGTCCCAAACATTCCGCTACTCAGTTGCCGCGGAGGCTGGGACGCTGAGAATCGATGCTGGCACGGATGGGCTGGTCGATGCTGGCACGAACCGAGCGGTCGATGCTGGCACGGATAGCGTTCTCGGCGCTCGAGGGCGGTCGCTGGGGTTCGGGGGTGGTCGAGGGCTTGAGATGCTGCAGGGCTTCTTCGTCGTCAGCAACGTATCCCTTGCTGACACGCACGTTCACGGCCGTGATGACCACATTCTGATCGCTGGCCATGTGATGACCAGCATCACAACGGACCAATGAGATTGTCCCGCATGCTCTCGCCCTCCGCACCAATCATGAGTCCCCACGTGTTTGTTTGCCCCCATGCATGAGCACGCGCCGTTGCCACCCGCGTCTACTGGTTTCCTGCCTCCCCCACCGCTCGGCACATGTCCCCGGGCTGTGCCAAGCCTCTCTCGCTTGCACACCAGCCACTCTCGCACCCCCTTCTCGCTTCTCTGTGATGCTCCACCCTTCTCGCCCACTTTTGCCCCTCGACCTTCTCCCGGTCTATAAATAGCCCTGCATGTCTGAGCCTATGTTGAACACCAGTTCGAACAAAACTTGTTCTTTGGTGTTCGGGGCTAAAAGCTAATAAAGCTCATACCAAGCACTTGGTCTTCGTCCTTGCGCTTGTTCACTCCTTACACTTTGTTCGAACTCTCTTCTACTGATACCACCTGCTTGGTATCTTCCGCTCCTAGCCCCGCCCCTTTCCTAGTCCTGTCCGAACCTCAAGCACACTTGTGTCTGAGCCCTCTTCGCTCTCCTGTTCTTGAACCTCCTCGCTTTTTTTTTTTTTCCCAGTCCCAGTCCCAGTCCCGCCATGGATCCTGCCCTCGTGGACCGCCTCCGTGCCTTGGAGGCCGAGCTCGCCGAGCTCCGGACAGCTCGCGATGCTCCTGCCGCTGGGTACAGCGTGCAGATGCCGGACCGTTACGACGGTAACCGGCAAGGGTTCCGGGCATTCGTAAATCAGTGCAAACTGTATATACGAATGCAGCCCCACCGGTTCCCTGCTGACCCGATTAAGGTCGGATTCGTCATTAGTCTGCTCACTGGACCGGCTCTCCAGTGGGCGACTCCGATGCTTGAGATGGGTGATCCCCGACTCAACTCTTTTGGCGATTTCCTAGAACGCTTTTCCAAAGTGTTTGACGACCCTGATCGGGCCAGGACTGCCGAGTCAGTGATCACCACACTGTCTCAGGGCAACCGCCCGTGCGCAGTCTATGCATCCGAGTTCCTTCGTATTGCCGCCGATACGACTTGGAACGACGGTGCAAAGATCTCGTTCTTCCGACTTGGCTTGTCGGATGATGTCAGAGACGAACTTTCGCGAGTTCGCCCTCTGCCACGAGATCTGGAGGAGTACATCGAGCTTTGTAACGAGCTCGATGCACGAATCCGCGAGCGCCGTCAAGAGCGCCGAAGCACGCCTGCCCGCTACCGGTCTTCCCAGTTCGCCTTTGGTTCCGCCTCCGCTGCCGTTCCCGCCATCGCTCCCGCGCCCGTCCTCGCTCCGCCGCACCCCTCCTACATTGTTTCCGAGCCCATGCAAGTGGACTCTGCCGTCTCTGGACCCCTGACCGCCGAGGAGAAACAACGCCGCCGCCGCTTTGGACTCTGCCTGTACTGTGGCAAGAAGGGCCACTTGGTACGAAACTGCCCCGTCAAGTTTGGATCTACCAGAGCTACCGGACCGCCCCCTGGACCTCCCGGCCCGAGGATCATCCGCACCATCGTTTACGAAGATGGAGAAGTGCAAGACTTCAGTTCGGGAAACGACCAGGCCCGGTTCTAAGTGAAGGCCTTGAACCGGAGCCGTGCCCACCGCCTTCCGAAAGTGAAGACATTGGTAAGGTGCCTTTGGTAAGTACTGGGGAAGCAGTGATGTGCGGACAGCTTCGCCTTGCCTCTGGACCGGCGGACACTCTCAGCTCTGGCATAGTACCCGTGGCACCTCTGGTGTCACTGGGAACTGCACCTCATCCACAGGTGCAAATACCTGAGCTGTCCTGCCAACCCTCGGCAAAGTTAACTGTCTGTGCTAGCCGCAACCCTGGTGCCGAAGCTGGTACCGAACCAAAGTCTTGTGTTTCGTCTGTTCGTCGTTGCTCGTTGGTTGTTCCCGTCGCTGTTCGTCTTCCTTCTGGTGATTCTCTGTCGTGCGAAGGACTTGTCGATTCTGGTGCCTCTGGCAACTTTATCGACGAGGACTTTGTTGCTCGACACTCTGTCCCCACCTGCTCCAAGGCTTCGCCCTTGGCAGTGGAAGGCGTGGATGGTAAGCCGCTGTCGTCTGGCCCCATCCTCCGCGAGACTGCTCCACTCGAGGTGATTCTCGGGGACGTCTCGCAACGCCTTCGGTTCGATGTGATCAGGTCTCCACATCAACCACTTATCCTTGGCTTTCCTTGGTTGCGCACCGCCGAGCCCAAGATTGTCTGGTCTCGCGGTCTTCTTTGTCTCCCTCCTTCTGTTGATTCCGACCCCTCTCCATGCACTACTTCTCTTTCGTCTTGCTCCACTTCCTCCAATGTCACTCCCCTTCTTGATGATTCCACTCCTTTGATTGATCTAAGCTCCTCTCCTACGCTCCCACCTTCGTCTTCCCCTTCTTGTCTTGTTCCTCCCGAACCCCTTCGCTCTTCCCAAACCCCTTCTTCTGTTGTCAGTTCTCTTTCCCTCCTTGATGTACCTCCTCCTGTTGTTTGTTCTTCGGACATTGTTCAGAATAAAGTAACCGTCGAACATTATTCTGACCTTGTCCACGCCCCTCCTCTCAGCTCGGACGCTCCTCTCCGCGTCTGCAGCATTGATTACCGCTCGATGCGCGAGTCTTTGGATGCATGCAGGCATGGAACGCAACCCCTGACCATCTTTCAGGTCCATGTCCTGCCCACTGACGAGCCGAGCACTGCGACTGTCGAAGTGCCTGCGGAGTACAAGGACTTCCTGTCTGTTTTCTCTAAACAGGAAGCTGACTCCTTGCCTCCGCATCGCCCTTATGACTGCCCCATTGACTTGGAGCCGGGCAAGTCGCCAAAGTTCGGGCCTCTGTACTCACTGTCCGAGCCCGAACTTCACGCTCTGCGTGACTATCTCGACGAGAATCTTGCCAAGGGATTCGTTCGTCCTTCGTCGTCCCCAGCAGGCTCACCAATCCTCTTCGTCAAGAAGAAGGACGGCTCACTTCGTCTTTGCGTTGACTACCGCGCACTGAACGGTATCACGGTAAAGAACCGTTACCCTTTACCGCTGATCGGCGAGCTGCTGGACCGACTTCGAGGCGCGAAGGTGTTCACTAAGCTGGACCTTCGTGGAGCCTACAATCTGCTGCGCATCCGCTCCGGGGACGAGTGGAAGACAGCTTTCCGTACTCGATATGGGCACTTCGAGTACTTGGTGATGCCCTTTGGGCTCACCAACGCGCCAGCGACGTTCCAGCACTTCATCAACGACGTCCTGCGCACCGAGTTGGACCAGTTCGCAATTGCGTATCTTGACGATATCTTGATCTACAGTGCTGATCCGTCGCAGCATGTAGAGCACGTCAAGCAGGTCCTCTCGAAGCTCCGAGCTGCAAAGCTGTTGTGAGGACCACGACAAGCAACGACACTGGACGACCAGGTGCTTGGCGAACAACGATAAGCTATATTACGACTTATCAGATAACAACAAGTGTTGTTCGAACTGCAGATACAAAATGGGTGCAAGAAAGGAGGGGCTTTATAGCCAAGAGGGAAACCGAAGGGCGAAAGTGGGCGAGAGGGGTGGAGCGACAAACGAGGGACGAGATGGGGGTGCGAGGGAGGCGGAGCTGCTAGAGAGAGGGGCGAAGCACAGCGCAGTCGGAGGCGAAGTAAGAGTCATCGGCGCCAGCCAATCAGGGAATACACGCCAAGACAAACAAACATGACTCACGGTGCATCACGCGCAGCAGTCCACACGTGTTCCCAACGTGCATGATCATCACATCATCCCCTCCCCAAACTACGGCCACTCCTGCGAACAATAAGTCCAGGCTTGTCGGGGTACCGGCGGTGGAAGTCGGCTATCTTGTCGGGAGCGTTAACGTAGTTGGCGGGCTCCCAGCTGCGATGATCAGTCGAGTAGCCCTTCCAATCAACGAAATAGCTCAACTTACCGCGGACCAGCTTGGAGTCGAGGATCTCCTGGACTTCATACTCCAAGTGGTCGTCGACGCGGACTGGCGGAGGAGGGTCTTGGATGCGGCCGGGGAGGGTGTTCGACTTGTGGGGCTCAAGGAGGGAGACATGGAACACCGGATGGATCTTGAGATCCTTGGGAAGGTCGAGGCGGAAGGCGAGGGAACCGATGGCTTCGACGATCTTGTAGGGTCCGATGCGCTGGTAGTCCAACTTCTTGCTTGGACGGGTGGTCTTGATG